GATAAAACTTATTATAATATATTACATATTTATATAATTAATTTAAAAAAAATTTTTTTTTAAAAATATTAATTATTCATAAAAATAAATCAGAAGAGAATTTATAGTAAATAAGCAGGCAAATTTGCTTTCGAAACCCTACAATCATAGGGATAAGAACGTTATCACAATATTATCATGATGTTATTATGACACTAAATTGGATTCTCAAATCACATATCCAAAAGATTGATCAAAATTATATTATAGAGCCAGCTGAAATTAATCGCAAAATTATTGCGTCACCCGTCGCCTCTTTTTTACACTATTTCAGTATTTTAAAAGGTAATCAAATATGCGTAAATTTTCAATATAGAACTAGCAACCAAACAAGCACAGAGTGTCAGTATCTTCAACAAGGAACCAGGCATTTAAATAAGGATGGAAAGCCAATACTAACAATGTAGAATTTATAATGTAAACGAATTAGGAACAAGAAGAAAACAGTCACCATTAGATTATGATATTATCATTAAATTAAAGCATTACCATTCACCATTAGACTATGAAATCACCATTATAATATACAGGAAACAATTGAAATAATAATATAAAATGCAAAGCTACCTATATATAGGTTATAAAGTTACTATCAGATTATGAATAGTAGATTTTGAAGTTACCACTAGATCATGAAATTAGATTATAAAATCACCACCATATTATGAAGTTACTGACAGATTATGAAGTTACTATTATATTATGAAGTTATCAGTAGACTATGAAATTACCATTATATTATGAAGTTGCTGATGGATTATGAAGTTACTTTCATGATCTAACTCAAATCACATATGACTGATTCTAAACCTATGATTTGTTATATCAAAAGTTAATTGTATTATTACAATTAATAATACATATGGAAAGGAAAAATAGGCAATACAGGATATCTAAAATAAATGGTTTTGTTAATGTAGTTAGCATTTACTAGCGTTTATTATTTTTTTACTATTTTTATTATTTTTAGTATTATTTTATTTTATTAGTATTATTTTATTATTATTATTATTATTTAGCATTTATTAGCATTTATTATTTTTTATTATTATTTACTTTATTTTATTATTATTACATGTATAAGAATTTAGCTAACAATCATTAAATTAGCATAATAAAGATCATTTAAACTAATATTGTTTAATAGCTATAATTGTTTTTAGCCAAATTTGTTTATTGGCTATAATTGTTTTTAGCCAAATTAGTCTACTAAACATAATTGTTCTCTGGCCAAATTAGTTTTCTGAACAAAAATGTTCTGTTAAAATTCATGTATATAAATAGCAAAATTTTTCTTTAATAAAATATAACAATATTTACAATATTTATAATAGTTAATATAATTCACATTTGCAATAAAAATATTATTTAACCCTTAAAAAATCTAATAATTTTCTAAATACGAAAATATTGTTATCTATTATTTTCCTTTATATTTTTATTATAATAACTCTAAAAGATATAATTAATAAACATACCTGATTATATAAAGTGCTAAAATTGCAGGTAATAATATAATATTTATGTTGTATTAGATTAGAATTAAGATATTAATAATTAAATTAGTAAAATAATAAATACAATATCTTTTGCTTATCTTAAAACTCTGATTATAATCTATAAATACTAAAGAACTGCTATTAACAATATTAAATTATCAAAAAAAATTTTAAAAATTATTATTTTTTTGTATTATTTAATAATCAAATTTGTTTACAAATTTAAAAAATATTAATATTTTTTACAAATTTACTACATAATCATTTTTCTCTATTATTTTGTCTGTGAGACATGCATTGATGATAACGATCTGCTTAAGGAAAGTGAAATAAATATGTAGAAGGGTTTTCTATAGTTGTAACACTTTTATTAGTAAATTTAAAATCTTATAATTTTTAAAAATTTTTTAAAGTTTTTATATTTGTATAAACAAAATCTAAAGTTTAGACAGACATTTAAATGATAAAGGTAAAACTTGATTAAATTATATTAAAACTTTATTAAAAAATCTGTGAAATTAGAAAAAGATAAAATTATATCAAAACTTATAAAATGGTAAATACTTAATAAAAATTTAGCAAAACTAAAAGCTTTAGATATTTAACTAAATCCAAATGAATTTAGACAAGCTATCTTATTTGTATATTAATTGAATCAATTGAATCACTTTATTATTATTTTTTTTTATAATAAAAATATTATATTATGATTAAATTCTAATAAGAATTATTATAGATTAATCATAAAAATTTTTAATAAAAATATTTTATTAGTTTTTAAGTAATCTTAAATATTTTATTTTATATTTAAAAGATAAAAATTGGATTGTAAAGATTTGTAGGCAAATTTAGACAATTTAAAAAAGAATTAATATATTACATATTTATAAATTAATTTAAAAAAAAAAATTAAAAAATTTTTAATTTTTTATAAAAGTAAATCAGAAGATAATTTATAGTAAATTTATAGGGCAAATTTGCTTATAAATAAAGATGATTCTTTAATATATTTTTAAAAATAGTTGCAGTTGCAGCCTATATAAAAATATAAAGTTGCAGATTATAGTTTATGATTAGTAAGACCTGATTGTAATGTCATTTTTACCTATAAACCTCTATAACTTAAGTGATAATAATAATAATTACTAATTAAGTTGATAAGATATATATTAAATAATATATTTATATAATAATAATTATTAAAATTATTATTTATATTATATAAAAATTTAATATTTTCTTTTAGGTTTTATAGGAAAATTTGCTTACTAGATTATTTAAAGAATAATTTAATTAAACTTAAAAATTTTGATTGAATTAAATTAAATAATAATAATATTATATTAAGTATATTTTATAAATATATTTATCTAAAAATATTAAACAGTCTTAAATAATTCTAAAAGTTCTAATAAATTTATCAGTTCTAATGTTAATATATTAATTGAATATTTATATATTATTAAAATTATATATTAAACTTATGCGAAAATCTAGAATCTTAATTTTGAAATTTAGGATCAATCATAAGAATTAATGAATGGTTTTACAAAAGTTATTGATTCCAAAATTCATATTTTTTTCATAAAATTTATTATATCAATTTTTATTAAGAATTACTTATTATAGATAAGTAATTAGATTTTGTTATAATTTGTATTTGTTTATAATAATTTGATATTTCTATAATCATTTAATCTAAAAGCTGGACTTTCTATTTACCTTTTAAATCAGCTGATTTTCTAATATTATATATATATTTGGGAGGTTTGCTAGGAAAATGGGGCTTTGAGACTAAAAAATTTTTTTGAATAAATTAAAAAATCAAAATAATCAAAAAAACTAGCTTTAAATTTGAGACGATCTATTTTTAGGTCATGTAATATATATCATATGATATAAATTATTAGCTAAATACTTTTTAAGATATAATTTGTTGATCATTTCCTAAATGGTACATTAAACATGTTTATTATTTCCAAAAATCTATTTCTAGATTTACTAAGTAATAACTTTCAATATTATAATTTTTTTTTGAAAATAAGCTAATGTAATATAAAATTTTAACCAATTAAAGTTTATAAGTTATAGATTAATATGTATCAAAAATTTCAATTTTTTAAAAAATGTCTCAGAACCCCATTTTCCTAGCAAACTTCCCATATATATATATATATTTAAAAGATTTATTTAAATAATCAAAGAAAAAAACTATAAAAACTAATACATATTAAATTGGATTTCATATAAATCTGGATCCCAAAATATTACTGATATTACTGATATTATAGTTTGTAATAAAAAGAATTTAAACAAATTTTATTTTTATTATAATTATCTTTAAATTAATGAATAATTATCTTTTTCATATTTATTTATTTATCAATTATAAAAATAGATAAAAATAAAAAAAAAAATTCACTTCTGATTTATTATTTTTTTTTAAAAATTATTTTTTTTTTAAATAATTTTATATTATCCTTTAAATTTATAAGAGTTTGCAGGCAAATTTGCCTGCTTATTTACTATAAATTCTCTACTAATTTACTTTATAAAAAGTTATATTCTTTTATAAATTTTTTAAATCAGTTCATAAATATATATATAAAAGTTTGAAAGGACCTATTTTTTTTAGAAACAACTTTCTTGTTGATTTACCCAATATTCAAATACATATACACTTTAACAAACTGAATTCATATACTGTTTATGTGGAACCTTGAATGTGCCAAAATAAAGTACATTGCGCTGGCCCAACCCGGATCTGGATCTATAAGTTTTTGCCCAAAAATCCATCCCAATGCAGACTTTAATTCGAAAAGAGTTTCCATTGTTCATGAATAGCCTTTTTTCGTCTAAGATTAATCAAGTTACTTCAAATTTGAATGAGTTTTCTCATGATTCCGTCTAACATCCAAGGCTTTCCTAAGATAATAATAGAATAGTCTTCGCATTTAGCTAATGTAAAGTTTCATTGGATAACAGAATACCTACCTAACTATGAGAACTATGTGTTCAGCAAGAAAATATTCTAACTTATGTATCTTCACTCATGTATTTCTCAATTTATTATTATATATAATCGTTTCTATATACATAATTCAATTAAATGTAAAAAAGAGAATCCCGATAATTTGTTGGAATTAGAAAGGTTACTATAGTGTTATACTTTACATTTATTAAAATTTTGGAATTTATAAATATATAAATATATTTATATATTTTTTTGGAGGATAATTAATATGTATATAAATACTGTATATCCTTCAAATATCGAACAAATCTACAACCTAATGCTTCTTTCTACCCAGCTCCACTAAAATTAATTTTATGTTATAAAAAAAAAAATAAATGTTTAATATATTAGATATTTAGTCAATTCTTCTAACATTTTTGGGATCAACCCAACCTCTTCCTTGAGTCTCTTCATTAACAGCAAACCACCATTCACCACCCTCATCAAGATGTATAATTTTTAATAAACTATCTCTTTCAAAAGTTAACAAATTCTTTCGTTTTGGACGTTTTGATGTAATTGCTGTACAAAAAAATATTGCTTTATCCGTTTCTTCCTTATTCTCCTCATTCTCCGTCAATGTAATTTCATCGTCTTCAAGAATTGAATTATTTAATGATCTATTACAACCAACAAGTGTACTATCTGTTAAATCTTTTCCATGTGTATATTTATTTTCTGATTTGTAATTATTAACATTAAAATCATCGATAAATGGATTTTGATCAGATTTTATTCCCAAATAATCCTGATATGATGAATTTGAATGTTCTATTGATAAACAGAAGCAAACCGTTTAAATATGAAATAGTTAAAACAATTACATTAAAACTAATATATGTATATATGTACATACCTAAATCATCTTCCCATAATCCACCTTTTCTGTTATGATCTTTAGACACTGACAATAATGGAATGTAATTATAATATTAATTTATGAATTTAATCAAATTATAAGCAATAATTGTCTTATATCTATTAAAATAACTTACCTAAAAAAAGTTTTGAATCATCGGCTTTCCTTGAAGATCCTGATGAATCTGACCAACTAGATCTTTTTCCTCTTCCGAACTCATTAAAATCTGGTCCAGATATTACAAATCCTAATTGTCAAATATGATATAATCAATGTTAACTTATTTTTGTTGGAAAATATCTCTTTAAATTATTAAATTACCTTCAGGATTATTTAATATACATAAACGTTCCAACTTTGCTTCCATCTTTATTCGTTCATAATATTCTTCGTACTCCGTAACTACATCCATTTCTCTTAACACCAATTCTCTGTCGCGTGAAACGTGATCTAATGCTTGAGAATCTACAAACTTATAATAAAATTGTCTAAAATCCATTCCCATCCGTTCATAAAGTTTTGATTGTATTTTAATTAATTCTTGCACAATTATGTCGAAATATTGTGTCATTAGTTTAAAAAAGCCAGGTAACTCTTCATGTAATTGGTCTGAAATTGATTTAAAGGCATCTGCGGATTGTTGAAGATGCTTATCAAGCTATTCAAAAAACAAAAAAAAAATATTTATAATCTTATTTATAAGAATTATTAAAAATTAATGAATAGTTTCATAAATTCTAACTTACTGTTCCACCTTTAGATTTTATTGACATTGCTCTATCATAGTCCAAAATTTTTCTTTCTCTTTTTCTCATAACAGCGGCAGGTGCTTTAAATAACTCCAAAAACCTCTCAATCTGCGGCATTATATTTTTTCTTATAACTGCCTCCTAAATCATTTTTTAAAAGAAAAAAAGGTTGACATGGTTCCTATAAACTAAATAAACATTTTTTTTGATAAATATACCATTTCTTTTCCATTTGTTGCTGCAAGTTCCTTAATAGCCTTTGCATATTCCACTACTTTTCTAATTTCCTCTTTATATGTAACCTTGTAAGATTGACTTCTAAGTAAGTAGATATCTTCAAAAGCGGCAGCAATACGCTGTTGATCTTCAAAGAATACTAAAAATGATGATATAATTATTACAGAAATTCGAGTGTAAAAATTAATCACAAGATAAATTAATCTTACCTTTAACATCTCTCACCCAATCCTTTACATCTTTTATCAATTGCATTCCTTGTTGTTCTAAATTCCTGAACTTTATTACATAAAAATTGTAAAGTTCATCTTCAGTGGCTTTGGATATACCAGTAGCATGTTTAATCTATCAAATAAAGTTTTTGTAAATATTATAATAAATATTACGAAAATTGTCTTTATTATCGATCCTTTAAATTTAGCATACCATCTGACCCCTCCTTGTTATTGACTTTGTTATGCCATGACTATGAAAAGAGTAATATATACATATATTAACAACTTTATTTGAAAAAAAAAAAATCAAAAACCTCCCCCCAATAAATAAGGTTTTGGAAAAATTTACTAACACAAGCTATTGTTATATTTTAACAAAAATAATTTATATTAGTATAAATAAATTTTAAGAAGCTAATCTAAATAAATCTATTTAAAAACTTACATCAGCATCCGTTTTTTTCTTACTACCAACTATTTTTTCAACAATATCTTTCCGTCTCTTGATCTCATTTATTCTTTCAGCAACCTTTTGTATTTCTTCGAAGGCAAACTTAAGGTCGTCATAATCTGGATGTAATTCGCTTGTAAGTGAAAAAATTTGCTAAAAATAATAAGCGAATAGAATTAGGGGATCAATCTTATCATAAATGATGATATATAGATTAAATATTTAAAAATACCTGCAATAACAGAGGGTATTTTAATACACGCTGCACTGGTTTAATTAAAAGACTCGCTATATCCCAACTTCTTGTTCGACCTTCACATAGATCTTTACATTTCTTATTATTTTTTTTTAGAAAAAAAAGATGATATATGTGAATTTAAAAACGTTTTTTAAAAGAAAAAAAAATAAAGAAAAGAAAATAAATAATAACCTGCAACCATCCTTTAACATTCTCATCCTTGTCAAATTCTTGAAGCTTTTGAACAGCGGTTTCATGTCTTTTACAGTATTCACCATATACTGATTCCATTCTACTTTCACAACCATCTTGCTTTTTCATCTGTTTACAATTCAAAATAATAATAAATATCAAGTAAAGATAATTCAATATCAAATTATCTACCTTTCTTCGAAAGTCAATCTCATACCATCTGTAAAAATGCTGCTCCTATTAACGAGTTATAATTTTCATTCTCTAAATGTTTGTCAACATTATCATCTGAATCTTCCATACCAGCTGCCCTTTCCAATAATTCTGAGAATTCTGCCGAAAAATCAATTACTTCAGGTAAATTACTAAATATTGCTTTACAATCATAGGGATTGAAAATAGGAATTTCTTGTGCTGGAATTGAATAAACCTATAAAAAGTTAAAATAATTATGATTAGTCCATGCATTTTTTATCATAACAAGTAATAGATTGTTATTATTACCTCTTCCAGGAGCACCATATCTTGGAAAAAGTTCTTTTCTGTTTCGACAAGTTCTTTTGTGACATTCCATAATTTCTTCCTTCTCTTAATATTGTTAGCATGAATTTCTTCTTTAAGAATAGCCTCACTTGAAGGACTTGGAAGGGATATTGCACTTTTAGGTCTTTTATAAAACTCTGATGCCAAAGTTGTGGAAGGATGAACTAGATCTGTTGGAGTTTTAGAAGGAGGTGTAGGTGGTAATGCTTTTGAAGTCTCATAGTAAGTCTCAGTATCAGGATTCAGCTGTATCGTTGGTGCCGATACAGCCAGTAGACTAGCTATGCTCTCTCTTTTTGCCTTGAAATCTTCCAGCGAAACAGAATGAAATTGTTTTTTTGTTGAAGATGGTACATCATTATAAGACTTGTTATTTGACAAACGTGAAATTGACAAAGATTTAGTTGGTGATAATTTTGCAGGTTTAGTCTCTATCTCTGGTAAATAATTATCCTCGGCTACATCTATCCATTCCCTACTGAAATTTACAAAATCATCGTCAATTATAGAGATATAGTCGGATTGTTGAGATATTGATGTGTGATTAAGAGATCGTGACTTTACAGGTAATTTTTTCAATGGAGGTGTATTATTATTTATACTATTACTAATATTTGTATTTGCAAGTGTTTTTCTCACATTGTTTGTATTAACATTAATTGTAGTCGTTGGTTGTAGCCCTCTTTCCAGACTTTTCGAAATTGTACGGTTGGTAGTAAGCGCAGATGGTTTTTTTGTGGGATTCGGTATCTAGATTTGAATAGAGAAATCAAATTAATTACATCAATGCAACTAAATTTTAAATAATAATAACAATAATTAATTGTAAGTTGATTGGTTAGTTATTAACTCACTCACCGTCCTATCTTGAACTTGTTGAAATCTCGCTTTAATATCACCAAACACTAACGAGCTCTCATCAATTTCGATTGAGTCCTCTGTCCTTTGATGTTCATTTGAAAATGATTTTGATTTTTTAATAGTCACAGCTGGAATAGTTTGCTTTGGTGATCGAGGAAGAGTACGAGACTTGACGTTTAAACCATCTTTTGAATCCTCAAATACACTTGATAATCTATGAACATTCGTTCCGCGAATTGGTGTTGTAATTATACGCTTTGAAGGGATTGAGGATGAATTTGGATCGTTATCAACTTTATTTAAGTTTATTGTTGATAATTTTGGTGGTTTCGGTTTCGTAGGTGGAGGAGCTTTGGGTTTTGGATTTACTTTTGGGTTTCGATTTCTATGCGTAGTCTGTTCCATTAATTCTGAACCATATAAATTCCAAAACTATATATATATATTTTTAACAAGAAAAGTTAGTTTTTAAATTAAATATAAAATACTCGGCAGCTTACAACATTAATTATAAACGTGAATTTTGAAGTTAATTTAAATGATATTATTAATTATGAAATAAAATTATAAACTTACTTTGGGGAGTTAGTTACAACGATAAAGGTTAAAGTCGGAAAAATAAGATATTTGTCAGAGGGTGTTCTTTGTTCTAGTAATATATTTAAAAATAATAGTCACAATACAACAAAAAAATATATTCGACGTCACTCAACAACAAGTTGTAGAAAGAAACAAGGTAGGTAAAGAGGGTGTTTGTTTGTTAGTTAGTAAAGGACGAAAAAAATAAGAAAATAAGACGAAAAAATAAGTAAAAATTTCCAACCCCATGTGTTTTCATTTATGGACACCCGACCTCTTTGTTATAAATGTTTCACTACATATAAATGTTCTTTTATAGGTTTAAACTTAAATTCATTTTATATTATTTATATTACATTACTTGAATCTTTTTGCACGTGATTATCCGATCTTTTTTTTGTTGGGAAACAAATGAGATTTGATACTTGAAATTTGTTTTGATGGGAAATGAAAGATATTTTAATTGGTAGATTAACTTCCCTTTGTCAGTCGGAACCAAGCAATCATGGGAATTCCGAAGTGACAGTTCCGAACCAAAATGATTTTTACAGTTACACGAAAGTGAAACATTCGCGAATTATTATGTTGATAAAAATGGTTTAACAGATTCTTTTAACAAAGAACCTAAATACAAATTGGTAAATAAAAAAATAATAAATAATTTTTTAAATTTACTGATTTGGTTCATTCATTTAATTCAAAAAGATTTATATAGTCAGAACTTGATACAATGAAACGAAATTCACGATAAACCGATTCTAAGATGATTTTTTTTTACACCCTTGTTACATCTCATTTGATAAAGTCCTACATGAAACGCATTTATTGCGTTTAATTTGCACAGACTTGCAAAATTAATTTATCAATCGACTGATTTTTTTTTTGTTACACTTTATTTTTATCTAGTTCAATGTGCATTTTCAAGATTTGTCCAATAATTAAACAAGACATGCTTACTGTAAATGGTTTATCAATTGATTAACTGCATTAAATACACATTGATTTGAAACGTATTTGTTTTTGTATCATGTGGGGTTTTGAAGTCAGAAATTTGTTAAACTTATGTCAGGACAATTATTCCTTTCTGTGGCTTGTTCCGCAATTTCGTGGATTTTTGACGCTTCATACTAACGATATTCTCAAATTTATGGGAACTCCCGAGTTTAAGAAGTATTCTTGTGAGACTTTTTAATGGACTCGAGTTTTTATCGTGTAACACTTAACAATCAATAAATATTTGAATGTGTTACAAAGAAATTTATCAAAAAGTACCACTCATTTATAGAATTGTTTGTTATAGTCACGCGATTACAATAGCATCGTTCTAAGACTTGTATGGCGTAGGATCATATCACGTGACATTAAACATTAAAATTCGTAATTAAATGAACGACTCTCAAACACAATTATTTCATACTAACCCTAGGGGCGAAACCTTCAACGAAATTCCAAAATTTCTCGTCACGGATCTCAGTTTTTAGACTTTATTGACTTATATGTTAGTTTTGGTCCCCCATATCATAAATATAAAATCAGTAATATAATACTCCACCCTTAGTATTGTCTAGGAAATGTTGAATGACCATTTTTATTACGCAAATTGGAACATTCTTTTTTGGATGATCTCTCACATACCAGTGTGTTGCAAAAAAAATTGGCGGTGATAAAAAAACCACATATCTCAACAAACACGAATCCAATCTAGATTTTAAAAGTCGATCAATTTAATAGAAATTTGCCAAAAATCTGGTTAATTCGTTTCTCTACATTATTTGTCAATGGGATTTAAATCTGGGCTATTGGATGGACACACAATCCTGTTTTCGGCAATGAATTCCTTTGGATCATTATTTTGTACATGCTTTGTGCAGCATGAAGAAGTTGGTTCTCCAAAATACTTAGATAAATGGCCCATCCAGAAACAAGATATAAGATTTTCCCTTTCAAGAAATGCCTTCCCTTGACATTGGACTTTATTTCGAAATTGTATAGTTTCAATTATCATGAATATGCCATGTTTTTCTCATTTCAATATGTTAGCATTACTATAACCTTTTTTTTTCATTGTCTCCAATTGTACTATGTGAAATAGAAATATCTTCAATATTCTCTATTTTAGTAGCAAGTTGGCGAGTTATTTCCGGTAAACTGGGATTCTTTAACGAACCATGGAGAATCTGTAATTTTTCCCTAGAAAAGAAAAAAGTAAACAGTCCAAGATCAATAATAAACTGTAAATGGCGTATTCGATAAAATGGAGAGTAAGTTTATATGTTGTAGCTAGGCTTGGGACTAATTGTTGTGCTATTTTTTTTTCTTATTTCGATTCGCTAAAGTCGATCTTTGAAAAGCATATTTTGTAGAAATAATTTTTTTAATATGGATTAGAGTGAAAAGGCTATAATTTCACGCAAAAATATGTCTTATGAACAGCGGTAAAGGTTTTAAACGAAAATACACATTTAAAAATTAAATATGCATAGCATTTATTAAAGAATAAATGGATAAGGACGCATTTGTTTTTCCTTGATCTTTTCTATATTAAGTAAACAATTTACCTAAAACGCAAATATATAATAATGGTAGTGATGGCGATCGGAAAAGGAGACGATGGCGTCAACAGTGATGAAGATAGTGTGTTGAACATGAAGCTGATAATTAAATGCTATAATTTAATTAATTAATTTATATTATAGGATTATTATATCACTTTCTTAATAATTATAATATTTGATTTTGATTACAAAGATCTTATAATTTTACCGAAGAAACTATTAGTTTTATTGAAGTTAGTAAAATTATTCTATAAAATTATTATCGTTGCTAAACACGTGATTTTAAATTTTATAAGTCAGAATTTAAATCATAGATTATAAATTTGAAATTAGTAATTTATTTAATTTAAAAGTTCAATAAAAATCATGATTTATATAAAAAATTAAATTTTGAATTATCATCACATGAATTGTATGAAAATAAATTTGTATACAAGTTTATTTTATATATAAGATGTTTTAAATTTATTATAAAATTTAGAATCCTATTATATAAATCTTAATTTAATGCTTTTATTTCATATTTTTTAATAAATTTAATTTTTGCTTATTTGCTTATATATTTATATTAATATTAAGAAGAAACTTATTATACTTTGAATTTTTTGAATTTAAAAATAAACAAATTATATATAAATATTAAAGGCTTATAAAAATGTTCTGTTTTTTGTATTTGATCAATAATTACAGTTTATAATTTCTTGTATTAAAGTAAAAAACTAAACTAAAAATAAAAAATAAGAACAAAATAATAATAAAACATTTTTAATTAAACTAAAACTAATTAATAATTTTAATAAATAAAAAAATGAAGATAATAATAAATAATATGATAATATTAGTTTATTAGATAAAAATGAACCACTTAAATTATTTTAATCAGATAATATATACCTAAAATAAAAATATATAGATATTATATTATCTTACTAAAAAGATAAAAAAAAAATCATTTTTTAATAAACACTTATAAATAAATGTCAATCAATTTTAGATAATATAAACAATATAAAAATAAAGAATAAAATAATCAACTTAATCTAAAAAAAAATTTTAAAAGTTAGAAATAAGAAAATAAACATTAATTATAATTAAATATAATAAAAATGAGTGATATTAAAATATTTACAAAATTAAAAAAGAAATAGTAAAGATTAATTAATATAAAAACTATATTATTGGTTTTTATTAAAGTGCATTATCATAAAGTAAATTTATTTAATATTAAGCAAATTAATAATTTTATTATTATTATTTTCTAATAATCAATCAAATTAAAAACCAAAAAATATTACGACTAAAAATGCCTTTCTAAATTATATTTAGAAAATCTGAGTTTGAAATATTGCAAAGTATTCATATTTAAAGAAAGATTTTATATTTTATTTATAAGCCAAGTATATATAATTTATATTTGATATTAATCGAAATAAAAAAATTTAGTAATTAATAAAATAGATTAACTTCTGATTATACTAATAAAAAATTTTATTATAATATCAGTTGATATTAAAAATCATTTAAAAATCAATAGAAATTAGAATCTAATATTTTATGATCAATTGCTAAATATTTAGTTTTGAACTTAATTATTAAAATTAATAAATAATTCATTAAATTCAATCATTAAAAATTTAAAATTTGTAAAAATAAATTTAATTAATTTTTTTAAATAATAATAAAGTAGATTATATAAAATTTCTCAAATGTGATATTTTCTGCTGATAAGGTTGATAGTCAAGTATTTTATCACTTTTCATTACTTTAAAATTTTATATTTTACTAGAATGAATTAACTGAGAATATAGATATGCTTGTAATATACATTTGCAACTTTTAGGATAAAAGTTAGTATACTATAATTTGATATTATAAATCTCTTTATTATTATTAATACTAAACAATATTTTATACTTGTTGAATCAGCAATGTGATATCATTGAATATATATTAGATAGTTTATTAGGTAAATTAATTATATGTGTAAAATGTATTGCATTTGTCTAGAATAATAGTCAATAATATCATTATTAATCACAAATTTTGCTAATATATAAGAATTTTTTATATTTTGTGAAAATAACATCAAACTAAAAATCTTAAAACTAATCTAATACCTTCTAAATCAGTTAAATTTGATCTTAATTATTATAGCATCTAGTGGTTCTTTTCCAAATACTTTCAGAATTTAAGTGATTTATAAATTACAATATAATATTCAACTATTAAATCAAATATTAAATTTGAAAGCATAATATTTTCAGAAGAAGGTTTTAGCATTTTGTCTAGAAATAGTTCACTTTCTATAATGACTATTTCTTATATATTTATAGAATTAAACCAAAATCAGTGCATATTATCAAAAGTAAATCTGTCTATTTCTGAAATAGATCTAATAGATAGCTGATGATTTAATAACTCTAAATCTTTCATTTTTATTTTAGAATTTATAATTTTTCTAATTTTATTATCAAATATTAGTCAGCATATAATTTTAATCTCAATTTTCCAATGACTATTCAGCAAAGAACTTAAAAGAAATAGATAGTTAGAATATTGATTATATAATAAAAAGATTAATTTTTTTTTACCTAATACACCATTCATATACTCAAATAAAAAGCACCAGAAGGTATAAAGAAGTCTAAAATTATATACCATTCACATATAATAAATGGAATGAAAATAAATGTTCAGTATAATCTTATCTTAACTATTATAACTTTTAATTAATTTTATGACCTCAATTAACTTTAGTGAGCTTTATTTATAGAATCAGTTTCCACAATTCATTTTATTAAATAAAGCAAATTCTTACAAAATATATAAAAAGCTTCTTATTCACATTAAAAAGGTACTCCTAAAATAATATAATAGTATAAATAATAAAAAATATTTGACTATTGATCAGCTATAAAATTTGAGAAATCTTCACTATAATCAATTTTTCTGGAAATATAATCTAAATCAGCTAACACTTGGAATTTATTCATTTTATTCTGGATCTTTTTTAATATATTGATATTAAATACTCTTATTAATTTAGATTTGTTTTACTATTCATCTTGCAATACTTAAAAACAGATAATGTATTAGATCAATAGTTATAAATATAATCAGATAAAAATATGAAAGACACAATAATTTGAATTATCTAACTTCAGTTAACTTTACAAATCATTTTCTTGCTATATCCAAATTATAGTATCATTACCCTAAAGCATTCTGATGGTGTTTGGTCAAATCTCAAGAAATAAACCATTCATTTATGTCATCTATTTTAGCAAAATTATGCTGCTAGTATACACTTTTCACACTATAATATAAAATGAGTATTGAAATGTATCACAAATCTTTCTTATAGCAGGAATATCATATAAAATAAGAATTAGAATAGCTCAGATGTTTCTTTTTCTTGGTACTCAAATGTATGATTTAGAGTAATTCCAATTTAAAGTAACTCTAAATTATTGACAATAGATATTATATAATAATTTATTTTGTGTAAATTTACTTTATTTAGCTTAGATAATAAGCTAAAAATAAGTAAATTTTTTTGTTGAAATCAAATATTTTTTGGCAAATTGCATATTACAGCATACAATATACTAATGCTATGTAATGTTTCATTATAAGATCAGAATCAGTCAATATTTAATATTAACCTAAAATGTGAATCAGAAACATTTTTTAAAAAAATCAGCAAATTATCTTTACTTATTTCTTTGAATGTTTGCCAAACTTATCTGTTATATATATCAAATAATATATTGTCAAATATTAAGCTATTTGTTCAGTACTGAAATGAAGTTTTAAAGCTAAACTAACTATTAACAAATTCTAATAAATAAATAAATTAGCTCTAAAATATTTGTAATTTGATTGCCTAATAATTTTGTTTATTTAAATAAGACTATTTGATACAATTTTGATCTATATATTTTCAAATTTGAAAATTCAATATGGTTATACTTCATGATGGATGGAATACTATTTTTCTGAAACTCTGTAATTTTTTACTTATTATATAACTTGTGATATTTCAGACATATTACAAATTTATAAAAGCTATCTTGTAAGCCAAGTATTTTTCTTGCCAAATAAAGTGAATTAGAAAAAAAATTAAAGTTAAGACTGCTGATTTCTTCTAATATAAATTTAATAAATTTTATAAGTAACTCCATAGATATTTCTGATAAATTAAACCTTATATAAAAGCTTATTATTTATATTAATATCCATAAAATTTTATCATTATTTTTTGATTGTATATTATTTAGTTCTTGAAATAGTATAAATAAAGAATATGAATAGTCTTCAAATATTTTAGTAATATGATCATTATTCAATTCATTATCACTTAAAAAGATTTACATTTACTTATTTCATTTATTTCATTTATTTCTAAATTCTTATAATCAGAGTTTTCATCAAAAAGTTCAATATTTTG